ACACATATATATATATATATATATGTACCTGTCTGAGGGTACACTCGTAATCTTCAAGTGGGTAGAGGGCCGAACGGGAACTCCAGGTGGATGCTTCAGAGGGGGGAGGTACCTGTAAAAGGCACTCCGACGCTCAAGTCAGGACAAACACGAATTTCTAGGGTAAATAATTGAACAGTAACATACCTCGTTACATGTGACCTATTTATAATACCTGACATTGGTGGGTCTTCTCTGACACTTATCAAATTAGGTAATACGATGTTAATCGGCAGGTTATGCCTTGATTACGTCTTGTCTCTTGTTAATCGTGATTGTCATTCTAATTATTCTGTCTCTGTTGACTTTCGGCCGAGCCGATACAGAACAGTCGAGACATCGTCTTCGGCGTCTGGCCGAGCTGATAGGAGAAGGGTACGACTCTCAGTTCCTTACTGAGCCGAAGTGATATCTGAGCTGCGTCAATATCTGATAGGACATGACGTGCCGGTCCACGTGGCCGATCCACGTGGCGGATAAGATCCTTCCGGTACAATATAGATACTAAAATAAGTGTAAAATAAATTATAAAATCCGTTGACAGCGCCATGATGACCAATTAAAAAATTGTTATATTTTTTAGAAACCGTATTTTCCACATGAATCGATCCGATTCGAGTTAAATAGAATTATTATGAATTACGAAATTCTTATTATTTAACATGATGGCATACTCAAGTGTTTTTAGCAACAATTACATTTAAACATGAAGATGATGTAGAAGTAAAAAATCATGTGAAAATCTCTTGAACTAATTTCAACATAGACATAGTAACAGGGTAAATTAGACCCTATTCGTATGTGAGCCGCTGTTGCTGGACAAGTGATAGAAATTGACTATATTGATTTCCTTTTTCCTGAAAAGGTATTGACTTCTTTTGTGGGTTAGGAAAGTGTCGTTTTATTAAGAAAACAACATTGGCAGAGAAAAAGGAAGTGTCGTCTGAAATAAAAGTTTTAGACGAGAAGGGCCAAGTGCGGTAACTAGTGTCCATGTTAAGTTATAAGAGTCAGGAAGAATGGTAGATTTATTTCCTCTGATATTTATATAAAAATTATTTGAGATATTCTTGTACATATTAATAAAAGTTAAGCAACAAGAAGAAGTGGTATTAGAATTTTGTTGTGTATTGCATTGGGTGATTCACGACAAGGTAAGTGAAGGAAAAAGCCAAACGCCACTCACGATTGCGAGTTTTAGATGAGAGGTTGTTTGTTTGTTGCGTTGATTAAGACTTAAGAGCCTTAATCAGGAAATGAAGTAGTTAATCCCCGCTAAAGTAAAAAACAAAGAGATGCGGAACTTGTTCATTGTCATATAAGGCATGTATTTGAAGGTTCATTTCCAAAAGGATTAGAAATTTAGACGCTTCTCTAACTCCGATAACCAGTATTTATCCAATTCACTCACTCTCTTGCATATATACACCCAAACGCATCTCTAGTATCCAATTCACTCTGCACTCTGCACTCTGCACTCTGCACTCTGCAACAACATCCATTTTTTTAATTTTCATTCACTTAATTCCGCAACTTTATAATATTCCATTGGCTCATTTTCTTCAAAATCAAGGGCATCAGAGTTCACTCCCGATACCTCGTATCGTGTGTGAGTAACTGCAGATCTGATTCTCTTTTTTTTTTTTTTTTTTTATAATTAAAAGTAGATTGCACAAGTGTTTGTTATCGTTAATTCCTAACGGTCATTTTCAGCAGCGAGGAGAGAAAGAAAATAACAAAAAGTGGGGAAAAATGAAAGATTCGGAGAAAGTAACGTGCGGCGCACAGGCACGCCCCTCGGCCTCACAGAAACTTATGGTGTGGCTCATCCTCTTCATGTGCGTGACCTACATCGTGTACAGTCTGAAGCTGGTGTCCACGCCGACTTCAACCACGTGCAGTCACGCGCCTTTCTCCGTCCAACGCCTCTCGGCCCCAAACGGAACGGCGAAGCGGGAGCGGAAAACGGAGCTCCGTCACGTAGTGTTCGGAATCGCAGCGTCGGCGAAGCTGTGGGAGCAGAGAAAGAATTACATAAAGATATGGTACAAGGAGAAGGAGATGAGGGGAGTGGTGTGGTTGGACGGTAGAGTGAAAAGCGAGGCGAAGGAAGGGTTGCCACGTGTGATGATTTCGTCGGACACGTCGAACTTCGCGTACAGGAACAAGCAGGGGCACCGTTCGGCCATCCGAATATCGCGCATCGTGTCGGAAACGGTGCGTTTGGGGCTGAAGGATGTGCGGTGGTTGGTGATGGGGGACGACGACACGGTTTTTGTGACGGAGAATTTGGTGAGAGTTTTGAACAAGTACGACCACAGGGGAATGTACTACATAGGAAGCTTGTCGGAGAGCCACTTGCAGAACATATTTTTCTCGTACGGGATGGCGTACGGGGGAGGGGGGTTTGCCATCAGTTACCCGTTGGCGAAGGCTCTGGAGAAGATGCAGGACCGTTGCATTCAGAGGTACCCCGCTCTGTATGGTTCCGATGATCGAATGCAAGCTTGCATGGCTGAACTCGGTGTTCCACTCACTAAAGAACTCGGTTTCCACCAGGTATGCTCTTTTTCTTTCCTTTTTCTAACCCTACAATTTTTCATTTTACTGTTTTTGGCAATTGCATAGTCACCCCAATTTTAAGAAACTTGTCCCCTCAACGCTGTCGGTGGATCATTCCTTACTTTCGAATTCAATTACCATAATTTCTATTTATTTTTTATATTCACTTTTATTATAGTGCCCCAAAGACGCTGCTTATTATTTTTTTTTATATTAAATGTTATATTAATTATTTCTTCTTCTTCTTCTCTTTTTTTCTCCTTTTTCTAAACGGAGAGACGCGGCATATCTCTATTATTTAGAGATTATTTAGAGAAAATAATAAAATCGCCGATTCGTTAGAAAATAAAATAGTTTGAGAGAAGGATAACAAGGAAGTAGTTTGAAAACTATTTATAAAAATAAAATAATTTAAAAATTCATATATATGAAAATATGTTATCAATTTTTAGTAAATTAAAAAAAATAAATATAAATCTTAATTATTAATTTTTAGAAGGATTTTTTTTCATTTGTTTGATATTGTTAAAATTTCAAGATAATATTAATTATTTTGTTGTCAAATATATTTTTATTTTACTAAATTTTAAATTAATTTAAATATTTATATCTTTTGTTTATTTATAGATAAATTATGTATATTTAGATTGTCTTTTATGTATGTGCAATGCTATTTGTTGTGCTTAATTATTGACGTATTAGACTATATAGCAAGTCAGTTGTTATTAATTGTTATCGAACTTGATTGGTTTGATGGTGATATTTTGTATCTAATTGCATAATCTCTAACTTTGTGCCTCTTCTCTTTTCTTTTCAAATTGACATAGGTTTCTAAAATTTGACTCTCATGTTACCATTGTTGCAAGAGCTCCATGTAGAGTTATAGCTTAGGTGCGTTTTATTTTGACTTTAGGTTTAGGGTAGTTGCCAGGTCTATACATGAACACATTTACATGGCTTATATAGAGAAAAGGAAAGTAACTAATTATTCACTAACTTCTAACAAACTATATCTCTAATAAGGTCTAAAGCTGAGCAAGCAAGACTACACTAAAAAAGATAAGGATTAGTTAAGGGGCACTAAGTATTTATGATTCCTAGTTCTTATTAATCACAGTGTGACATGCATTTAACTTTTTCAATTTACAAAGAATTTACACAATCAAATTAGTCTTGCTCACTATTCTACAAGTTTTTCACACTAATAGACCTTGGTGTTTTTTTTCTTTCTCTATAACAGTATGATGTGTATGGGAACTTGTTGGGGCTTCTTGGATCTCATCCAGTGACTCCATTGGTGTCACTGCACCACCTTGATTTGGTTGAGCCAATCTTCCCGAACATGTCTAGAGTAGAATCCCTTCAACGCCTTACCATACCAATGAAGCTTGACTCAGCATCTCTCATTCAACAATCCATTTGCTATGACACAAAAAGGAAATGGACCATTTCAGTTTCATGGGGTTTTGCTATTCAGATATTTCGTGGCATATTTTCTCCCCGGGAAATTGAAATGCCTTCTAGAACATTCCTTAATTGGTATAAGAGAGCAGATTACACGGCATATGCATTCAACACACGCCCCGTTACTAGAAACCCGTGTCAAAAGCCTTTTGTGTTCTACTTTTCAAAGGCGAAACTCAATTCAACATTACAACAGACAGTGACTGAATATGAAAGACATCGAGTTTCTCATCCAGAATGTCGCTGGAAGATGGCCGATCCTTCTGTTCTTGACAAAGTAGTGGTATACAAGAAGCCAGACCCTCATCTGTGGGATAGAGTAAGTTCTTTTGCTACATGTCATAACTTTAACAATGTATTGAGAAATTAATGCATGTGGGTGTTGTGGCCTTTTGCTAATATATGCGTTTGGCAGGCACCAAGGAGAAACTGTTGCAGAGTGATGAAGTCGAACAAGAAAGGAAGGGTGGAGATAGATGTGGGTGTATGTAGAGATGGTGAGGTCACCGAACCTTAATTGTTTCTGACAAGTGTTGATTGATATTATTAGCCCATTAGGTTATTTTCCTTATATTCTTTGAGCTTATTTCTTCATTTATTGGGCATTAACTTCAAGTTTTGTCATTCTTCCCGGCCACCCTGAAATTGGGTAGTTGTGGAAAGAATGTACATGTTGTAATTCATTGTAATTGTTGTTATTGGTTACAAATTTGTATTTTGATTTAATTAAGTTGCAAATGAAATAGCTCAGAAGTTCAATTTGTATTTATTTTCATTGTTAGAGATAATCCTTAAAATTCAGGTGTTAGAAAATAGAAAATTCAAAATATAATATATTAATAAGATTACATCAATAAATGATAAATTAAAATAATAAAACTAAAATAAAATAAGAAAGTTTAAAATAATTTAGGTTGAAGCATCCAATGAGTTATCTTTATAAAAAAACACTAATACACTACTTAGATTAATTTGATGCAGTCCTCTGTCAAGATACAACAACTAATAAAAAAACGCTGCTCTAAAATACTTTTAATAATAACAAAAATATTTCTTGGAAAGAGGAGATAAATTTCCAATCAACATAATATATATATATATATATATAAACAACTTACAACAAAACAACACCATCATCATCCTCATTAAAATATGTTATCCGTTAATTTGAATTAATGTAACGAATTATTAAATAATTTTTAAATTTTTTAAAAATTTACAAATTTGATCTATACATTAATAACTTTAAATTTAATAGTTGGATCGTTGAAATTTGATATAAATTATAAGCAGATTTAAAATAAATTATAAGTTATTGAATAGAATAAGCAGATTTCTCCTTTTATATATATATATGATAGTTATTAAATTTTTTGTTTTTTAAAAAATGTTTCCACTAATTTAAAATCCTAGATTTGCACCGTCTACTAAAAATTATTAATTAAGTTTTCGTATAATAATTGGTATCGATAAAATTGGTGAATATTTTACACTAATAATATAATATAAAAAATAATATGAATATCATATTACAATTATGCCGGGAGGGTTGACTGGAGCTCCATTTCAGTATTTGGTTCTGATTTTCAAGTGGTAAGCAGGCTTGGACATTGCCTACCATACTCAAGTGGAACGGTAGCTGCATTCTAAAAAAGAATTAGCTGATGATATATACACCTCTATTTTTTTATACATATACCCTTTTTTAAAAAAAATATTAAATTCTTAAATTGTCCTTAACATTAATTGAAATAAAAAAAATTATCCTGAAAATTTTTTTTGGAGGTGTATTTGTACAAAATTATAGAAAGTTCTTTTTGAAATACTAAAATTACTATTTCAGAAATAACTTTCAGTCGAAATAATTCTGGAAAGTACTTTCCGTAACACTAAAATTACGATTGCGGAAATTTCTTTCCGAAATTATGGTAACAAATACACATTGTTAATATTCCAGAAAGAATTTTTCGCAATAATAATTCTAGTGTTACGGAAAGTATTTTCCATAATTATTTTGACGGAAAGTTATTTTCGAAATAGTAATTTTAGTACTGGTGCAATATGTGTATTATCCTATTATCAAGAGAAACTATTATTATTATCATTATTATTATTATTATTTTCTTCTTATATAAAAAAAAAAGGTTATAACTTTCTTCTACTTGATGAAAATGTTCTATTCTTTATATGATGCATCTGTACACTTTTGCATCTTATTTC